AAAAAAAAAAAAATTGAATATGAGTTTGAAATTTTAATTTATTTGTATTTGATTGGTTAGGAATAAACGAAAATAAATGGAAAACTTGAGTTAGTATCATAAGTTTGTCTGTGATGGTAATATGGAAAGCTTAAGTTGCTCGAATTTTTTTTAGCCGAGTCATAATTTGCTTAACTGTCTAGAATTTAATATCCTGAGATATAAAAAGGAGCTGGTAATTATGGCTAAAATATTTGTTTTTTGGTGATGCGGAGGTTACTTTATTACGAGTAATCTATAAACGTCTTATTAATCTATCATACATGGATAGCCTTGTCTGCTCTTGGAGCTGTTTATTTGCTGAAGTGCACAGATCGAAGTGAAAATAGGTGGGATAATAGAGGAAGAAAAGCAAGTACTTTGCTTTTGCTTTATTTTGTCTTTATTGACAATCAACGATAGTCTTTAGGAAATTTTTTTCTACAGTGGGGTTTGTTCATCTTTTACTCTTAGCAACTTTTATTTACTCTTCATAATTTTCATTTTGATATTAGAATTATCAGTTTTCTTGATGGTTAATGTAGAACATTGAAGAGAAAATGTTGAAATCTTGAGTCAAATATTTAAGAAAGAAAGGCAATCAGAGGATGTTACTCTCTTTATGGGAAAAAAACTGTACGGCTTACATTGGGATGAATTTATGGAGAGGGATAAGTATTACAAGTGGTCAGATTGGTTGCTTTAGTATTAAGAAACCACCATATTTTTTATCGGTACGGAATGACATTGGTGCGACTTTTAAATTCTATATATTCCTCATGAAACCTAATTTGAGTATGGTGTGCAAATAAAAATTCTGATTCCATTTAACCAGCTAGAACAATTGTATTTTTCATCGCTAAAATGCATCCTTCCAATATTCTCTCAACAATAAATCTTTAGAGCAATGTAGGAAATTCTAAAAGTGCAACATATGTCTGAGCAATGCCATAAATCATTCAGTGATTCCATATCTCCACGTTTTATGAGCTAACAAATACCAAATTAGTGGTTGTATTTTGTGTGCAGGCATGCATCAATGAGACCTCATAGTCCTTTCAAAAAGTTAAAAATTTCTTCTTTTGAGTTTGGTTTTGAAATTTGAATTGATATGAATTTGACCGCATTCAGAAAATGAAAAGTACTGGTAAAGTTAGTTACTAGCACGATTTTGTTTGTATATGTGCATACACATGAAAGTCAACATGGAAACCTTGTTATATGGTTGACAGAGTTGGTGAAATGACTGAGCTAAATTCTCTGTGTCATTCAGAATATTTTACTATATTTAGATTCTTGATACAAAATGATGGTGAACACTATTCTATCAGTTTTGTATGCTTTTGGGGCATTTAATCATCAATATTCTATCAGTTTTGTATGCTTTTGGAGCTGTTTCTTCACTGGAATCAGAAATCAGGAGTGAAAATGGTGCAACTTTTTTAGTGGTAGAGAACTAAATAAAGTTTAATTAAATTGAATTAGAGAATAGGACCCATGTAACCGACCCCACATAAACATGGCATAATGCTTCTTTCAGCTAAGTTGAGACCTTTCTTTTCTTTTGTCTACCATGGGGTTGCTGATTTTCTTCTCTCCCAACTATGATGTATTATTCATCATTTATATATTTTGATGTTATAAGCAGTTTTTCATCAAATCCATTGTAGAATATTAAAGAGAACATTGAGATCTCGTTCAATTATTTAAGAAAGTGGGACCAGGATATATGTTATCTATTGACATAGTAAAAGCACAGATGTTTGATCAAGATATCTTTGTTTCCAATCAAACTAATGTAAACATTTAAGAACATCGCGGACTTATTCTTTGGAATTGGGATGGTTTGAATTGAAAAAGGGATTTCATGATAAGTGGTTGGAATAATTTTGTGGTTTTTTGGTCTTCCAGAGTTGGCAATGGCACTTGTTCGAATTTCTTGTTTATTGAATTGTCTATTGCCACCATTCCAGTGGAGAAAAAACTACCATGCTAAACCCGCTACTTTGTAGTTTAATAAACTAAGGTCTTGTGGCCCATTTGGATGTAATGAATGGGGAAGCATGTTTAGGATCAATAGGATCGTAAATGTGGCTTCTATGCATAATGTTGTAACAATTTGCATGACAGGTGAAATTTTGCACATTAATTGCTTACTAGTGATGAATTATAGGTCACAGTGTTGGTGTCTACAGTTGTGCGACTCCACGACATCACTGCTTTTTATTTCCTGTTGTCTATTGTTTGTGCTTTTCTGCATTGGGTCTCCTCCACTTCTCTCTATAAACTTTAAGTTACCTTAATTAGAGGGCAGGGATATAATTTGAACTTATTCAGAATGCTTGAGCTTCTAGAATATTACCTATAAAATTGAAGCTGAAAATAGAAAGGAGCAGGTAGTGGTCACTAAATCTGGAATGACTTGTAACTGGGTCAATTTCTACGAGTTGAGTAGGTGAACAACATGTCTGTGCTAAATAAGTTGTTCGTATTTTCATTAACCGGCAGTCAAAATTTCCTTCTTGTTAAAAAGTGCTTACTTCCAAATAGAATTGCTCCATGGTCTCACCTATGTACTGGAAGCAGGTGGTTCTTGACTTGGACGAAACTCTAGTATGTGCATATGAGACATTGAGTTTGCCTGCTATGCTACGTGCTCAAGCAACAGAAGCTGGATTAAAATGGTTCGAACTGGAATGTATCTCCTCAGACAAGGTGAACTATGGTTTATGTCGGATATCAATGATTAAGCAAAATGTCTAATATCAATGTAATATTTGTTCTCCCTTTTACACATTTCTTTGGTGGGATTTTTAGGATGTTGAAGGCAAACCTAAGATCAACCATGTGACAGTGTTTGAACGTCCTGGACTGAAAGAATTTTTGAAACAACTCAGTGAATTTGCAGAACTCGTCTTATTTACTGCTGGACTTGAAGGTTTTTTGTTATTCTGCATTTCCTCTTTTCATCTGTGATCCTTTCAAGATTTTATTTACTATTGTTCTGGTTCCTTTTTTTAAAATAAAATAAAATAAAATAAAATTCTTGCAGGATATGCTAGACCACTTGTTGACAGAATAGATGTTGAAAATTTATTCAGCCGGAGACTTTATCGGCCTTCTACAATTAGTACGTAAGTATGGTTGTTCCAAAACTTTGGTCTACCACTATGAATATCAGCAGTTTTGATAACATCGAATTTTTTCCAAAAGCTTCTAATTTGCCATTTTTGATATGCTTTTCATTGCTGATCTTACACATACACAATAAGAGAGAGAAATAAGATATTATAGTCTAAAGATTCTTTAAAGCATCTACCATGTTTCACATTGACCTCATGTAATTTACTGTTCTCGCTTATTATTGTCATATACACGGTCAATGTGTAATCTTATGCCTTCTATGGCTTCGGGAGATAGCTGAGTACATCTGAAGATGATGTCAGATTCTTTTTTGGGGTTCATGTGATATCAGATTTTTTGGTGGGAACTTTCTCATATAATATTTTGCATCTGTTGAAATTTTTTTTCCCTCTAGTTGCCACTCTAGGAAATGATGTACGATTCAAAATTTTGGTTAGCTTAGCCATCTGAAAAACTGAATGATTATATTATCGATATTATTAAATAGACTTGTAGTTTCGGGGCTGCTTAAGAAAGCGCCTTTTCCTACTAAGGAAACTCCTTAGCATGCCGTTGGCATTTCCTTATGAAATCTAACTTTGTCGGGTAAGATACCCCGGCTTGTGCTATGTGGCCAAATATACTCTCCCTTTAACTTTTCACTTTAACTTTTCACTGTTTTTTTTTACTGCTACTTTCCATCTCTTCCCCACTGAATACTTCACACATCATTTTCACACCCAAATGTACTCCATCTCCATAAAAGCAACAACCATACTAAGCTGAAAATTTTCAATTTCGTAAACTCTTCCACCATCACCAAAATCTCATATCCCCACTTCAGCTGTCCACTTGACCTCTGAATCACCAAGATTTGACCACCATTGGATCACTAAGGAAGTAATGCAACCAGATATTTTAACTTAATTCAATAAACCGGATATTAATTTGTTGAGGAAGTTATGTTCTTTTGATGGACCAGTTAGAATTTTCAATTAATATGGGAGGTGATGACTGGTTTTGGTTGTGACCAGAGTGACAGTGGTTTGTGGTAGCTGAGTTTTATTTGGATGCACTTTGGAGTTTTATCTGCTTGCTCTTTCAATATTTTAGCCAAAAAGGATTCATGTAGCTGGATCCAAGCTTATTGAGAATAATCCTTGGATTAAACAAATAAAATAATATTCTAAATAGATAAATAAATTAAAAAATGAACTATTTGCACTTGACCACTATTTTCAAATTTAATAAGACAATTATTTTACTATTCGTAAGAGGGAATCCTAACATGATTTACTTAGTTGGAATTTCATCAAAGTATTTGTAAAAGATTGAAGGTTTGTAAACCACTGGTGCACTGACACATGGATACCTGGTTTAAGATTGATGACCGCTTTCTGGTTTTTCCTGATGGACATTGCAATGGGAAAAAAATTCCACTACTACTCTTCCACGTGGTGCCCTTCTTCTACCTGAGTGTGCAATTCACAAAGTACTCCTTGAACAAAAGAATGCATTTATTACAATGGTTAACACATTATGAAAGCTTCACAACTAGAAAGCTAGGGAAGAAACTCTAACCCTACTTTTTTATATCTGATCTGCATGCACATGCCAAATCCTGAGGCTTCAATAAAGTGTTGATATATTTTTCTTTGTGGTTTCTTAGTACATGGGTTTAATTTTTCTATTCATGTCATGAGAACTTATATAGAGCCCCCGTTTGAGCCATATTATTGTAAAAATAAGAATGAAAAATATGGCTGTGATGGGTCTCACACAAGAGATCAAAAGTTAATTATAGTGGCTTATGGTGATGGATAATGGTCATATTTTTCATTTTAATGAGGAAATAATGGGACTCAAACAGGGCCAGAATGAAAACTTTTGAGGGTTTTATTCATTATCTGACTAATTGCATAGTATATTATTTGTATTTTTCTTTTCTTTTTCTTTCATCGAAGTTCAGTGATGGCTGATTAATAAAAGGGAATACTGAAACTGGTTGCTAGGTTGTTAGATAGTCCCCCGCACCCCCCCATATTAGATTATCATGCTGCCTTTTTGGTACTGTGAACTCATTTTTAGTTAATCTTTTTCTACATTGCAGTGAATATCGTGAACATGTGAAAAACCTGTTGTGCATATCAAAGGATCTATGCCGAGTTGTTATTGTCGATAACAACCCATTCAGCTTCTTGCTGCAACCATTGAATGGAATTCCATGCATTCCGTTTTCTGCTGGACAACCACGCGATGAACAGGTACCTGTAATGAGACAATTTTTTAGTGCTTCCTCACTCTCTGTGTCCCACTCCCACAACTCACTTGTTCCCCTCTATGCCCCCCTCAGCTTTTGGAAGTCATCCTTCCACTTCTCAAGCATCTTTCTCAGCAAAAGGATGTAAGACCAATTCTGTATGAAAGATTCCACATGCCGGAATGGTTTCAAAAGCACGGAATCCCTGCTTTGAGATGAACAACCATAGGATAAATTGTTAAAAAGTGTGTTTTTCTTTTCTTTTTTTTTCTTTTTCTTTTTTCGTGTCCCACTCCCACAACTCACTTGTTCCCCTCTATGCCCCCCTCAGCTTTTGGAAGTCATCCTTCCACTTCTCAAGCATCTTTGTCAGCAAAAGGATGTAAGACCAATTCTGTATGAAAGATTCCACATGCCGGAATGGTTTCAAAAGCACGGAATCCCTGCTTTGAGATGAACAACCATAGGATAAATTGTTAAAAAGTGTGTTTTTCTTTTCTTTTCTTTTTTTCTTTCTTTTCTTTTATGTCTGGAAACATGCAGATAATTATTCTTTTCCTAAGGCAGTGTCCCCAAGTCATAGCAACAAATTTTTATATAGCATTATTCTGCACAAGGGAGTCGGCAAAGCCGCACCACTAGACATGGAATGATCGTGAAAAGTTTGATTTTTATGCAATGTATAGGTTCCAACCTAATTTGATGTCTGTATTTCCAAGTGTTGTATACAGAATGCAGAAAGTTTTTTAGATGAAATGATTCTGCTCCACTCTGGGACAAAACAACCAGCCATGTTTCTAAAGCCAAAACCCACTTTTTCTTCTGCTTTAATCTAATGTTGTTTACACATTTGATGTATCAAATGTTTCTACGAGGGGTTATTTTTTTAATCTTTTGACGGTGCAAAGTACATAACATTATAATTAAATATGTTACGGGGAAATAGACTATGATATCTTGTGTTTTTCTCCTACACTTTTGTTGTGTCTTGTATTGTACAACGCAAGAATTGTATTTATTTTGTGTACACAGAGATTGTTTTAACTTGCTTGGATTACTCTAGGTTGTGGTCTCGTATATTTTCTTCATTCATGTACCATTTAGAATATCAAACAGAACCTCTTGTTTGAGTATTGTATAGGTTATACAAGATAAAACGTCTCTAAAAAGGGGTTAAACCTGGACGTACTTGCAAGAGTTTAGCTTTCTAGATGGTTCTGAATCGAGGGAAGTAGATTTGGAGGTTGGGACAAATTTGGAACTATTGTTGAGTTCTACAGTTGCACCATACATTTCCGGCATCCCTTCTCTATAGTACGTTATCTAAGAATAATACATGGAATAGAAAGTCGAGGCATTAAACTACTACTGAACAACTTTAGTCTACAATCGAAAACATGTATGTATTTTTCTTTCTTCATTCTCACATAATACATTAACAATAAAACAATTCGTAAACTCTACTACATGAGAAGACATGATATGTAACTGCACGTATAATATGAACCTAGCTAATTGTTTTTGACTAAAATCCCAACAAATCGAAATCTCTGTTACCAATTTAATTATATATCTCAAATTTACGATTGTTTAATTCGAATGTATCAATTTGTTATTTGTTGAGCATCTTTATTGTATTATCTATCTGTATAGGCGGCCGCCGCCGCCACCGCCTGCTGCGGCCATCTTAAAACACAACTAATCTATCAGGCAGGCAGGCAATATGACTAAACTTTGATCTGTCAAAAGTCAGTTTCAGTTTACACAAGCATATCCTCAGGTATTCTCAAAGAGTGACTTTTTTAATTGTTTTTTTTATTTATACGTCATTTCGATTACTTAAAATTCAGACAAGACATAATGATGATGTTTTGAAATTCATGAGGCATGATGAATTGGTTTCTGCAGCAGAACTACCCATGTTCCTAAAGCTGTGGAATGAATAACAAAAGAGAGAAACCCACTTTAATTTTTCCTTTTTTGCATTTGTTAATTGTTTTTGAATTAATCTATTCGTACATTTAAGGTCTACATCTTGGATAACATTTTATTAAGTGTAAAAATCAAGACCATTGATTTAAATAAGTGTCGGAGAAATCAACGATGAAATTGATTGCCACATCATGAAATATTATTTAGGATATCAACCAAAATATAAACGTAGTAAAATTGTATATTTTTACCAAGCAAATCCTGGCTTGATTGACAAGTTGGTTTTTTTTAATACACAATTGATGGTGTCTATCTTCTTTAATCATTCAAATGTTTATGACATACTCTTAAAGTTCATGTCTACTTTATTTTTGTCAATACATTCAAATTTTATATTAATGGCTTTGACGAGACACACAGAGTGGCTATGTCGTTTTAGTATTAATGTAAAATAGGAAATTTCTCTTTGCTTCATTAGTATTTCATTTGCAATAGGTTGAGGGAAAAAAAAAACATTAGCAAAGGGAAAAACGTTCCCATTCAACTGCTTCAATAACTTAATAAGTGCACCCAACTGGAGGTGAGGAGGTGGACCTTACTATTTTGACTTTTCTTTGCAAAATAATTTTTTTTTTAAATGATTAAATTTTTGTACATTAAACGTTCCAATTGCTCATTATTTCTTTATTTATTATATGGATATTTGAATATCAAAATTGCGAATCCTGAGTTATTGTTAAATGAATTCCCAGCAATAATTTGATGAATACTCATTATAATTATTTTAAATTAAATTTAAGCAAATATATGTAGTAACATAGATAGGGTCCCACATACTCCATTAATATGGATGACAAGAGAAACATGCGTATTGCGATTTTTATAGTGCTCAACTCCTAATAAAACGGTAATTTTTCCAACTGAATGGATTATCTAGGCGAGGCGCGGCAAAAACCCCTTTTATTGATTCGAGGACAGGACAAAAATGGATAACATAGATTCGATCTCGTAGTTAATAATTTCTATTGTCCTAATTTAAAAACAAAGCTTTGGGGGAGGACAAATGGCTTTCTCAATAAACTTCATCACAAAGTTACTTTAGAAAGTGATCTATAATAATGGAATATTAAAAAGAAAGGTCACTCACAGTTCAAAATATCTTTATAAAAAAATTGGGGAGGTAATTGCAATTAACCATATTTGTTTGGGTTGTGCTGCTTGAAACAGGGGCTGTTCGAGAAGAAAAATCCTATTTATTTTCCTTGTCTAAAGATATAGCCAAGATGGGAAGACTTAGTCTTCCGGTCTACTCAAAAACACCAGAAAAGTAACATCATTGAAACATAATAGTCATTTGACTTCTACCAAGTCTTTCAATGCATTTGAGCAAGTTTTGGCGTCTAGAAAGAAAAGGAATAGACCAAAATGTCCCTTGTTCGACCATCTCCAATTCACTATAATATGTATTTCGCACATTAAAACATTCTGCACGTTCTTCTAAAACTTTTTCCTACTTTTTAATCCTACATCCTTCAAAAAATATTAGTCAAAACTCATTTTCTTTCCGATTAATGAGAATAAAATTGCAATAATAGTATTATACTCGAGATGTTTATATCTAGCCTTATGTTGAGTTATCAAAGATTTTTGTAGCATTAATCAAAGTGAAGAGAGGAAATTATTTATTTTCTCATATAAATTATGATAATATAAAAATAGATATTTCCGCCAAGAACTTGAATTTTGAAAGTAGACAATTTGAACCTTTTTTGTTGTGAAAACATTCTCAATTGATCCTCAACCAATTGTTTTACAACAAGTTAGTCCTCAACTTCAATATAATTACACAATCTGACCCCATCCAAATATGATGAAATTTATGGACAACAATGTGCCACTTCAAATCATATAAACAATACAATTTAAGAAAAACAAAGGGATTTATAGATTTTTGTCATATCTTACTACATAAAATTAAACCATGATTTGAACAATTTAGTTGTTAGAGATTAATTGAACGAATAATGCTACTTGTACATAAATAGTTATATAATGGTTTTATATACAGATGATATGTAAACAAGAGAGTAGAATTTTTTTCTTTATTTGATTGAAATTTTTTTGACACAATCATATATTACCATATCATGTATACGTAAATCGTTGTGTAAACATATTATGTACATGTAGCACAATCGTGAGCGAACGACTATATTATAAGAGTTTTGCCACTTTGCCAAAAGATTTTAACATTTTCGTTGACATAATTTAAGGTGGTAGAAGATGATTTGATAGGAAAATTGACTGTATTTAAAACAATCTAATGAAATAATGTCACGTGACATTGTTTCAAACTTTATGTCAAAGAATTTGACACTGGAGCATGATTGATATTATAAGGTCGAGCATTAACTTGCTAATTTCTTAACATTGAGGACCAACTTACTATTTTAAATACATCTGGACTAAGTAAACAAGACATGGTAACAAAAAAATTGAATAATTATATTTCTTGTTTCATTATTTTCCTTCAATACATTCTTATAATATATATATATATAAAGGAGGGAAGGTGAAGAAAATATCAATACCCAATTCAACCTCAGTTATGGAAACTGAAAACAACAATCTCTAAGGGTGTGTTCTCTTTGCTGTTTTCGGGCCGTTTTCGATTTTCGATTTTTTAAAACGGTGAAAACGCGTTCTCTTTCCCATTTTCGAAAACGAAAAAAAAATTGTGAAGAAAACACAAAACGACATTTTTATCGTTTTGGATGTTTTCAGTACAAAACTTGAAAAAAATGAAAACACGGGAAATGGTTCCATTTGAGAAATAGTTTTTCAAACTGGCAAAAAAAAACGCATTTTCAACAATTTCAAAACAGACACTAAAAACACAAAACCCAAAATGAATTCAAAACTCAAAACTACAAAATTGAAACACGAAGAGAACGACCCCTAATTATTCGGGACAAAGAGAATCGAAATTGGACATGTGAAAACATATTAATAAATTGAATTAGCAATGAACTGAAGATAGATGGTGGTCCCACTATTGTACCAGTACAAAAATATATGTAAATGGATTCTCTTTCATGCACATAGAGTATGTATTATATTTCTTCTTCTCAATCCTTTGGTGAAACATTCCAACAACTTTCGTGTTTAAAACAAATATGTCTATATCCATATTACATTTTTATTTATAGTACTTACTTTTCCTCGAAATCGAACACATCAATTTTTTTTAAGAGAATTCTCGTCCGCCTTTTTTTCCCTCTATTTTCATATTTGATAGCAATTTCTACTTTTATTTTTCATTACTTCATTTTCGCCGAAACCATCCAAAGTAATAATAATACTAATAATACACTTTATTGTTATTTTTAATTTCAATTTAAATACAATAGGACCAAACTAACATGCCAACCAATAATGGTCATTCTTATTTTCTATGAAATTTGTATATTTCTCTTTTAGCAGCCATAAATTAATGTTATTTGAATAGTCTAGTCTTTCATCTCCTTCCCCAATATTAGTCTTGAATTTGTAAGTGGAAAATTCAAATTAATATTTAATTAATTACAGAAATTAACAACGTTAATCACATTCCCGAGATGGATTGGAAATAATAATAAATGTATTTACATCATCCTTCTTTGTTTGAATGAGAATATTGCCCTTTTGACTTGCGTTCAAAGGAGAAAATTGGGATGCAAAATTTATTTATTTAATTTTCTCTATACCTTCTCTACGTTTCTTTATACTAGAAGATTTTATTAAATTGAAGATATATACACACCACTAATAACATTAATATACTTTTCGCCTAGTCTGAGTGTAAGAAAGTATTTAAGCTTAGTTTGGGAGCAAGCAGGGGTCTAAACTCAACCCATGGATTACTCGAAGTGCGAGCCAAACATAAAAAAATTTGGACGAGTCGAACAAACGAGGGATGAGCTTGGCTCGTGGGCTCCTCAAAAAAATGTGGCCAAATGGTCACATTTTTTGTGACTATTTGGTCATATTTCCAATATATATACACATTACATGCAAACTCAAAACGATTCTCTTCTTTTTTACAGTACATTCTCCAAAAATCACTATTTCAAAATACATTTTCTCTAAAATCTAATTTTAACGGAACCCAAATAGAGGCTATGTACATGGGTTTGTGGGCGAGTTCGGTGCGGCCCTTGTGCTCAAGAGCTTGCCACTAGCTGAGCGTAAGCTAATGAGCCAAATCGACTCGGTTCGGTCCATTGATGGGTGTAAGAAAGGATTTAAGTAATACTTTGATCAATTTTGAAATTGTTCTTAAAAATTTTGATCAAACAAGACTGTTCAATATGATATTCATAATATTAGTTTCAACATAAAGATGGCAATCGAGCAAGGTAGGGAGGAAAGGGAATTTTCGAGATATAAGAATTGAAATGAATTACGCGAGAATAAATTTTTTTCCCATTGAAATCGAACCTAAACCCATGTTCAAGAGATAGTTGTTAGCTCCATGGCTCCATGTTTAGATTCCTAACCTAATTTAAGTATTTATATATTTATTTTTTAAAACTGATTTAAAATTTAAATATAAAATAGCCATTTTGCCAACCCTATTAAAAGAATGCTCCATCTTCGGAACAATATTTTGATAAACGAGGCTTTTAGTGATATAGTCATATACCTACACTATAATATATCTCCCTCCGTTTCTTCTCCTTCTCTCTGTAGACCACAAATGAATTCCGGAAAGACGCCCTTTAGATGACGACACCCTTTACCACTGCCATCATAATTCTCCTCACTGCCCTCGCCGTATCTTCTCTGACACCCTCAGCCAATGCACTTGGTGGCTCCGCCTCCACGGTGGCCGTTGTTTACGGTTCTGCCACCACTATCTGCACCATAATTGCCCAGCAACCCCTCCAACAAATTCAATGCTGGCAGAACGGTCAGCTGCTGCCACCTATCATCCCTAACACCTCCTTCGACTACATCGCCGGCGGCCGTGACACCCTCTGCGCCACCCGCTCCGGTGGGTTCAGTCTTCTCTGCTGGAACACCACCTTCAACTCGAAAAGGCTGTACAACAATTATTCAGCTCCGTTAACTAGTCTAACAATTGGTGACACTCAAATTTGTGGTCTAACAAACATCAGTTCAGGGCAGAACGTCATTTGCTGGCGAGGAAATGACATATCATCCTCTCCCACCCCAAATGAGACATTGAGATTTCGCGCAATTTCATCCGGGTTGGGATTTTCTTGCGGAGTTGTTGAGGGCGCTAATCGAGTTTTGTGCTGGGGCGATGACAGTGTTTCTCTCTCCATACAATCGGCGTTCTCAAAATTTTCAATGTTGAATATTCAGGTTGGTGGAAGACATGCCTGTGGAATGGATAATTCAGGATTTGTGATTTGCAAAGGAAATAATAACAATGGTCAGTTGGATGTGCCATCAAATTCATCATACGAGTACATTGGGCTAGCCCTCGGGTCGAATCACTGTTGCGCAATCAGAAGATTGAACCGAACGGTTGTTTGTTGGGGCGGGAACGGTGAATTTTCGAGTAATGATACTGATGGGATTTCATTCGAGTCTATCGTTGCAGGATTGAATTTTACTTGTGGATTGACAACAAGCAATTTTTCAGTGATTTGCTGGGGTCCTGGTTGGCCTTATTCTTCTGGGATTGAGCTTCCTTTGCAAAAGTCTCTTCCGGGGCCATGTTTGGAGACTCCTTGTGAATGTAATATATATCCTGAATCTCAAACACTTTGTTTTGGAAATGGTCATATTTGTAGGCCTTGCGATACAATTTTAATTCCACCGCCGATTTTACCACCATCATCACCACCAGTTACTAGTCCTCCCCCTTCGAGGAGACTCCGAAGGGGTTTATTAGCGTTTGCGATTGTTGGATCAGTTGGGGGTTTTGCTGGGATTTGTACTGTAATTTATTGTTTGTGGACCGGTGTTTGTTTTGGGAAGAAGAAAATTCACAACTCGGTGCAGCCCACTATTACTGGTGCTAATGCTGCTCCGCAGTCTAATAGTAGCCCACCTTCGAGATCATCAACTCTTCGGCGCCAGGGGTCGATTCTCATGAGACGCCAGAGGAGTGGAACTTCATCAAAACATGCAGACAGGGCAGAGGAGCTTTTGTTTTCGGACCTGGCTTCTGCCACTAATAATTTCTCTTTAGAGAACAAGATTGGTGCTGGGAGTTTTGGGGTTGTATACAAAGGCAAACTTCCTGATGGGCGCGAAGTTGCCATCAAAAGAGGTGAGACGAGTCCAAAGACGAAGAAATTTCAAGAAAAGGAGAGTGCGTTTGAATCAGAACTGGCATTCTTATCGCGGCTTCATCACAAGCACTTGGTGAGGCTGGTTGGTTATTGTGAAGAAAGGGATGAAAGGCTTTTAGTTTACGAGTATATGAAGAATGGAGCTCTTTATGATCATTTACATGACAAGAACAATGCACAAAAGAGTAGCAGTGCAGTGAATTCTTGGAAAATGAGGATCAAAATTTCACTAGACGCTGCTCGTGGCATTGAGTATCTACATAATTATGCAGTTCCGCCCATAATTCATCGCGACATTAAGTCCTCAAACATATTGCTCGATGCAAACTGGACGGCACGAGTGTCTGATTTTGGCTTATCCTTAATGGGACCAGAAAATGTTCGTGATTATAGACCAATGAAGGCGGCTGGGACAGTTGGTTACATTGATCCAGAGTATTACGGACTAAATGTATTGACAGCAAAGAGCGATGTTTATGGCCTTGGAGTAGTGTTACTCGAACTTTTGACAGGGAAGCGAGCATTATTCAAGACGGGTGAAAATGGGGGTGAACCAATAAGCGTGGTAAACTATGCAGTACCAGCAATCATGGCCGGAGAATTGGCCAAAATATTGGACCCTCGGGTTGGTCCGCCGGATATAAACGAATCCGAGGCGGTGGAACTGGTGGCGTTCACTGCTATGCATTGCGTGCATTTAGAAGGTAAAGATAGGCCTAGCATTACAGACATTGTTTCTAATTTGGAGCGAGCATTTGCTCTATGTGATGATAGCCATGGCAGCATTTCTAGTGGCCCAATATCCATTGTTTCAGATTGAAATTTAGACAAAATCAATTCTTTCCCTTCATGTTTTCTGTTTTTTCTTTTTATTTTTTGAGGTATAATTCATGTTGTGAATAATTTGTAGTGTGACTGTAGAGTAACATGAGTTGTAACTTAGGATTCTTTGTAGAATGCTAACGAACGAAATTTTTTACTTTCGTTTATGTGCGCAGATGAGTTTAATTTCTTCGCCTTAGTCAACATCTTGTACTTCTGTTTAATTATCCACCACTAAATTTTTGATGCATTGACGCATCAACTCGTGAAATTTTGACAAATTAGGGTTGTGGGTGGTGGGATGCTTCTTAAGAAGAGCCAAAAGATATGGTGTAGACTGAGGTGAGGCCACGTGGTCGGAAGAAAGTCTAATCTGTACCAAAAAATGGTCAGAGCAAGCTAATCCGTGACGTTATTATAATATAAATATTTATTCATACTTGAGTGTTGGGCTAAATTGACTTTGAAATTTCTGAATAAAGGCGGTTTAGAACATTCAAACATGTAGACACGTGAAGGGGCCCGTTTTGAACTTCAATTCTTGATTTATTAACATTTAACAAAACGGTGTAACAGGTAAATAAATATATAATTAAATCCTCTCATATAAAATAAATGACCGCTGGAAAATTTACTAGCACAATTATGGATAATAAATGTAGAAAAAGGCCAAAGGGGTTACGAGGTGGTGGATTTATTGGTGGCCGGTGAGGGGAGGTGAGCCACCCCTCCCAAGCAGTTAAAGGACAACTGAAAATTTTGAGATACCCTTTCACGTCAGCAGCTTAACCTGAAAACTAGAAGTAGATAATATATATTTTTTTAAAGGAATTGCACGAACCCAATTGCTAGTTGCTACACAGTTTAAACTAACATCCCATCCATTGTCCGAGTTTGATCAAATATTTATGGAGATCGATTGTACTATATTGCTGGATATCTTCTTCTTCTTTGATGCGTCTCAACTTCGTTCATCCAATCTGAGAGCCACATGAGGCCTTTATAGCCAAAATATGCCAATGTAGTTATAATAACAGCAATGATAAGAAGCAAAAGAATCCTCCGAATGGCAGAAACGATTTTCTGTTCAGAATCAATTGTTAGATGAGAAAAATATTTAAGAGCTATCTGTGACTTCGACTTTCGAATATAGCACAAACCTGCAGTGTAGATATATTCTTGTCTTCCTGCACCCGTTGTCTTCTTCTTCTACGTTTTGTCACGTTGTTTTCAGTATCAGGCTCCTTTTCCTTCCATTACATAGAAAAGAAAATTGGAGTAAGATTAAGCATGAGCTGAGAATTGCATCATGATAAAGTTACAACACACTGAAATATGCAAGACAAACACAAATGCATAACTGGCATTAGCAACTTCACTGAATTCGGTAGGTAAGGATGTTTTGATGTATCCGTACAACAAATCATATGCCCCTGTTTGGACTCCATCAAAATAAGATTTTGAGGAAAAATGTATTTTGAAATGGTGATTTTATGTGTGGTTAAAGAAAATGAAGTGTTTACATTATTTTAGGAAAGAATGTGCGGTTAAAAATAAGTTCTAAAAAAAATACATTTTTTAGGAAAAATGGGGCCCAAACAGGGCAAATGCCAATTTAATTGAAAAAAAGGGGGAAAAAAAAAAAGGAAGAAGCAAGCTCGGCAATACATCCATTATTTTTTCTGCAACAGCTATAAACAGTAGTCCTGAAACTCCAAGCCATGTCACCAATAATTTCTAAAATTAACGGTTAGAACTTCAATTATTAAGCACCAACAATGGAAAAACCTTGTACTTCAGAGGCCTTATTTCAGTCTACCACACTCGAGTTTCTGTCCTCTATACTCCAGAATTGCCTCAATGATAGGCATTATGCTTCAGAGGGAGTGCATTCTCAGCTCTTGCCTCTTGATAGGTGGAAGTGCAACAAAAAAAACTAGCTCTAATTCCAGCTCAAATTGAATGTCTTAGTTCCAATTGGCATAAATGCTGTAGGGTAGACATAAGAATACTTTTCTAGGGTAGACTTGAGAAAACATTTTTCATACTACCACTCAAATTCTTGATACGGCACACAGTGAATTGTAAGGATGGGACCTTATATGCACCACCAGAAGTTAGTAAAAAGGAAAATAAGTTGGCCCAATTAACTTGGATTTTAAAATTGCAAGATTATTTTAACGAGGATAGCTTAAAAAGAACTATTATGAGAATGACTTTCATTTTATAGTGGACACTATGTTGAGATATTCTATAAGCAGATACCACTTAATTGGACGAGGAAAAAAATGTTAGTCAGAAAAAAAAATTGAGGAAGAAGACACCAGGAAGACATCAGACAAGGTTCACTGATATTAAGCACAAATCTAGGTGGCAATTATATAGCATTAAATGATAAAAATTCATTTAACTGTAAAGTTACATGACTCGTTTAATTGAACCTATATGGTGTAGCCATCTAGACTGGTGCACTAGCACCACTGGTGCTAAATAGCATTATTCTAGCATAAATACTACAAAAACAGTTTGGAACATGTTCTCCATGAAGTAGGATGCATAACATCAATTTTAAAAATCCAATAAACTGAGTAAGAACAAATACTCAAAATTTAATTTTTAACAATTTTAAACCCAATAGTATTTCACCCCACCATGTCCAGGAAAGCTGAACACACTCGATGGTTTAGCTATAAAGACAAACAAATTCACAAGAAACAAAATGTGATTATAAAATTAACAAGACAATACGAAAGAAACTCCAGTACGACCAAACTAATTAACAAGATAATACGAAAGAAACTCCAGTAAGACCAAACTAAGAAGAAGGGGCTCCCCTTCAAATCAATTGGATAGTTAAATGCAAAAGAAAACTGCAGTACTCTATGGCTTTACTTTATCTTAAACATCTTCAGAATTAGTGGGTGGGGTCAGCTTGTTTCCGTAAAGATAATTCGAGGTCCAAGGGCTTGCATATTTTATCTATACAAAATTGATTAGATACCACTGATTCGAAGAAAAAAGTAGTCATTACCTCCACCAACTTTGATTTACGAAGCTGTAACTCTGCATCAGAAACCTTCACTTTACTCTTGCAATCAGAATCACAAGGAAGAAGTCCAAATCCATACTGATTCCTAGATATATCTTTGGGATCACAGCCAGCTTGGAGATATGCTGATTGCACATCCTCACATAGCCACTCCCTTTTTAAGGTTTGGCATCCACAGCGAACAGTGACCTTCAGCAAGAGTAAAGTATACATGTATTTATCCATGTATTGACTAAGCCTTCATTTGGCAAATTTATAAAGAGAAATACCAATGGGTCAAAAAACACATCATTTAGTAGCCAGTATGGTTATCTCAACTGAATACTTGAAAATTACCATAGCAAAAATGATTTTCTGAAGCAACAAACTAGAACTGGGAATACCATTATGGTCTCTAACTCAAATTACCCCAAGAAATGTAAAACAAGATTTTAAAGAGCTTACAACTCCACTGGTTTGAGTAGATGCGTGAACGAAAAATGTCTATCATCATTACACCCACAAACACAAGAACACATGTATTTATCCATGTATTGACTAAGCCTTCTTTTGCAAATTTATAAATCAATTTATAAAGAGAAATACTGATGTGTCCAAAAACACATCATTTAGTAACCAATTATGGTTATCTCAACTGAACACTTGAAAATTACCATAGCAAAAATGATTTTCAGAAGCAACAAACTAAAACAGGGAATACGATTATGATCTCTAACTCAAATTAGCACAGGAAATGTAAAACCAGATTTTCAAGAGCTTACAACTCTAGCGGTTTGTCTAGAGGCATCGAACAAAATCTATAGATTGGTTAGTTTGGCTTATAAAATCTGTTCATTGATAAAAATAGCTGAAGACATGAAATCCATTATCCATGTAATTCATATTCCAATATTTATTTTTTGGTAATACAAATTACGAGAAATTGAATGGACCCACAATATTTGACTTCTCAAAACTCATCCAAATACACTCTGTCGCTGCGTTAATTAAAAATAGAACCAGTTCTGGTCTAAAGTTATCTTTTCCTGTGAAAAGCTATAGCTACCAAACATTGTTCAACATAGAAATTTGGAACAGCTGAAAATCATGTTTTTGAGTGTATGTAAATGCCAAAAATTGAACCACATTAACAACATATTTAGTTAATTGTTAAAAGATAAAATAAAAATAAAAATAATAAAAAGGTAAAGTATTTTGGCAAAGAAGGTTACTTGCAAAAATTATAAGCTTGGCCAAACATGTTATGAGTGAGGGACGTGTTGAAAACAATATTTAAATGACATACATATGGCCCAGTGTAATAGTTTAAGCTTATAGATTAAGTGGATAAACAAACAGGTAGTAAGAACATATAGGGTTACCTTTTTAAAGCACTTGTCAGGTGATGGACATGGACCGGGATGACACGTCTCTGGGCATAAATGTTTACAGTTTGGCAACTTTCTGAAAATCCAAGATAATAAATAACTATATAGATTTAACAACAGATATCAAAAAGCAACACTCATACACAAACAGGAATGAGAAAACGACTTGGATTGTCTGCATATACATAAATAAAATTATAGATGCCTAACATGTTGCCACGACAGAATGAGATCTGACTCGAACATAGAATCTAACCCCCTCCCCAGTACACAGGTGCTAAATAAACTAATTTAAGGGGAAAAAGGGCAAAAAATATGACAGCTGATGTTTAACTCGAGGTGGAAAATGAAAAATCTGAGTGTTTTATGGAACAATACGGCACAGCTCCCATCTAATTTTAGAACTAAAAAAAACAACGGTCCCAGGGTTAAATAGCATTATAGCAATAAGCATTTAGTTCATACACTACTCTTTTGGCTTCTTTCTTCCAAAAACTATATATCCTTTCATCACATCATTTACTGCAGATGTGGAGAAATTTTGTTCTACATATCAACAATTTGTATGATAGTAAGAAATGCAGTATAAAAGTGCTTCACAATGCAGACCTCTCTCTCCCCTTGATTTATTTTCAAGATCAGAAACTGAATAAATCCTTGTTTTATATATATATATATATATAATTTTCTAATTGTCTTAAAAGAATTCTTGCTTAATTTTTCAATTGAAATCATATATCTTCTATGATCA